AATTGATAACTTGCATCCCTAATTTATACAGGAATTAAATTAATTTATATCTACTTATATTTATTTAATTAAGTGTTTTAATGATTTGGCCGATTAATCAAAAAAATAATCAACAGGATAATCAATTATTAAAATAATCGTTAGTTGCAGCCCTACAAACAGCATTTTTCTTAAGGCCATATAAACTAAAATGTTCTATTAAAAGGTTAACAAAGAAAAGTTTGAGATACACTAGGCTTCCTGCTTCATCTGCGTTTTCCTAGGCTATTCAGCTGGTGGCCCGTGGGCCAAATCCGGCCCACGAGTGACCAAAGTTTGGCCCGCCAATTGGTTTATTCATCTCTTAGGCCCAAACCCCAGTTTTCTACTTTAATTACTCAAGTTCTTTTAGTTAAACATAGACATGTTTGATATCTACAGAAATGTCAGAATCTTGGCTAGAAGCTGGTAAAAACCATTTCTATAAACACTCAAGACAGTTAAAACTAAAAGCAGTTGAAGATAAAATGATGAAAGTGAAAATAAATTTGTTTTAAAAATTTGGCAAGTCAGAGATGTCAAAATATTAGTTGTGTCTAATAATAGGAGGCATAATGTGTTCTTTTTATTTTTGATAATGTGTAATTATCACCACATTTATAGGGTTCTGTATGTTGTATTCATGATTAAATGCAGCAAAATAAACAAATTCATAGGTAACATATTTTTGTAATACTTGGTTTATTTACATAATAACTTTAATTGCTGGGTGTTCGGCCCTTCAGCTTTTGACCGGCAGTAACTGTGGCCCTTGGAGCAATTTAGTTGAATAGCCCTGGCCCATACAGTATATCCCTGCCACAATCATTTTATATGAAAAATTTGAGCATATATGGACAGTTCTTTTTGTTTTTTTCATTTTGGAACACTAATATGCAAAAATGAAATACTCCTTACATTTTAAAAATGCTAGCAGTAAGAAGTCGGTTGTAAGATATTGACTCCAGTAAAGTATTACCAAACAAAGTATTTGTATTTTGTTACTTGATACCGCTGTCCAGCACTACGCCAGCCCATCTTTTCAGAAGTCGACAGCAGTGTCTGTCACCACCTCGCTGAAGGCCCTGTCACACTAGACAACTTATGAACATTTTAAAGATGTTTACATTGAAGCTGGAAGTGAAGTTTCTTTTCGGCGTGTACATACTGTAATTCTAACAAATTGATCAAATATATAACTTTCATTTATTCATGACATTTGCGTCTACATTTAGAATATTTGGGGAAATTAGCTCCACGGCATTAAAGGTTGTCATAGAACTAATGAGGCTGCTGGTGATGTTATGGTTGTATTTGCATTGGAATTAGACCACATGCTTTATAACCACACACAGTACTTGGTAATTAATCTGCAGTACAATTATTAGTACAGCTGGGGGGGCCTTTGGAGGGCACAAAATTAAACTAAGAGGCATTAGTTTTAGTGATTAATGTCCAAAAAAGACAAAGTTGTTAAATAAGTAATAAAGGGACAATTAAATTTACATTTGTCATTTCTAATTATTTATGAAAACCACCTCCCTCACTGTGAGTGATAGTAGCTCAAAGAGCACCAGGACAGCTGATTAATACTGTAGTAGAACTATTAGCTGGTACACGTTTTCTTTCTGCAGCAAAGTGTTTGGGACTTTATGTATGACCGGACTTGGTCCGTTTCTTCCCACAGATGTCATTTGGGTGATCCTGAGCGTGGAGGTCGGCGGTCTACTCGGCGTCACGCAGCAGCTTTCCTCTTTCCAGGCCGAGTTCAACACGCAGCCCCATCGGAGCCTGGAGGGAGACTACAACCCCTTCGCGTCGCCTGTGAAGAGCAAGTGCCCGAACAGCAACAACAACCACGTCCACAGCGACAGCAGCAACAGAGTCACGGAGGGAAGCCCACACCAGCTGCAGCAAGACCAGAACGGACTTTCACACAGCTCTGTGGAGATAGTAGCAAACCGTCTTCAAGGCAGTCTATCAGTAGTCTCGTGTAACCAGGTACACAATCAGCTTAAAGGGAACCCCGACTAGTTGTAACATGAGACATTATTTCATAAACATTTGCTTCAACCATAAAACAAAGATCAACACTATTGCAGACTGTTTCACATTTATAAATTAAAAGAAATATATTGTCACACAGAGACATTTTATTACCACCGCAGGTGATACGGGCTAAATGTATGCCCTGCGAGATCTATCCACTCTGAAGGTTAATCTTGGACAATATCTGACAATCATCCCTTTTAAATGAAAGCGGAGCACCTTGACAGACAGAATGTAGAAATAACTCGGCTTGAAACTGAAAATACAGATGGAGGACGTCAGAACTGCTTCACCTCAGCCTTTAGCCTTTTAACTTTTGCGTTAGCGCCCAAGCTAATGCATAGATGGCTGTATTTAAATTCAGGGGCTGTGTTCTTAGAAGGGTGAGTTTGTCTCAGCGATGCACTGAAGGCTGTCTAAATTCAAAGGTGCTTCCAGTGCTTCTGTAGTTCTAGTTTGGGTCCACAAATTCGTACCCCTTTTCCCCTGATTTGAGGGATGGGTCCAGTGTATCCTTTATGGCCCAAGATGCATTGCTGGCCAACTGGGAGATTTTATTTATTTATTTTGTATGTAATGGCGAACGAAGCAAGAGACAGGAATACAAATAGACATTTGGTGGTATGAAAGTGTTAAGCTTTTGTCATTTTCATAAACATACTTTTAATATCATTCTTGTCAGAAACGATCCGGTACGGCAGGTCCTTTAGTGCTTTGTGTATCGCCTCTAAGCTAATTTTGTTAATTTAAAATATTAATATTTGAGTGTATTGCCAAGTTCAGTCTATTTTACATCTTTGTTGCTTCTGTTTACCAACGTCAAGTTTGCTCTGCGACACGACTTGCATCGAGGTGGGGGCTGGAATAAAGCTGAAGGCCAGACTCCAAATTCAGACTCTTTCTTCTGGTCTTCCCATGTTGGCTGGCTCCTTCGAAAGATGCAGACCCTGAATTTGAACACTGCCTGCCTCAGGACAGCTGTGGCTACAGTGTAGCTTACCACCATCAGTATGTGAATGTGTGGATGAATGGGTGAACGTCTGCAATGTGAAGCGCTTTGGAGTCTGTAGGGATTTGATAAAACGATATACAAGTTCAGACCATTTATTGTTTTATAGCCATACACTGTTAGCGCCCAAGCTAATATATATAACGTTGGCCTACAATATTTTTATAATGTTTTACAGTTAAAGTAAATGTTTATAAAATGATGTCGAATGTGAAAAGTAGTCAGGGTTCCTTTTAATACTTTTAAGCTCAAAATGAAATAAAAACAGGGAAGTCGTGGTTTGCCTTGTTTCTGATCTGTGTTTTCACTTCTTTTCTTACAGATACAGGAGGCTTCACCTTTTGGGAACTCTTAATCATGGGACTTGTCAGTGTTTAGGCAGCATTAAATCGTACCTCTGGAATCTGTCACACCACTAAGAAAAAAACAAACAAACAAGAAGCTTTATCATGGTGGAGTGAGGAGATCAAAAACACTTTATGCAAAATCCAGTTACACTTTAAGACTCCAGAGGCCAACGCTCCTGATGTGCAGCTGAACCAACATCCCACTGAATGCATGGGTGAATGCTAAGTTAAAACGAAAACGAGTGCTGCGATTCTTCTGAGTGAATATGTTTATTTTTCTTCTTCTTTTCTTCAGATTTTTCTTGTTTTTTTGTTGCAAAGGTGCACATGGAAACGTGCTGACAGGAGAGAGTGTTTGAGAATAGTTTTTTTTTGTGTGTGTGTGTAGATGCGTGTGCACTGTGCAACATGGGGAAAACAAGACTTTTGGAGTTAAAGCCATTCGTTTTGCCAACTGATTCTCCAGTTTCTGCTCCGTTGAATCAATTTGTGCACTCTCTTGGGTTCTTCAGCACCAAATCTTAATTGGAAGATCGTCACTGAAAAATGTCGTCTTTTTTTATTTTATTTTTTTAATCCAAATACGGCATTTTAAAAAGAAAACAGCTTTTATTTTTTTTTATCACAATTCCCTAAAATTTCTCCCTAAATTTACAGCACAGAAGCAAAGTGTGGCATCACCAGCACAAGGAAGATAAAAGGGATCAAAACAGTACAAGTAGGTTTAATTGGAATTATTTTACAGAAAAAAAAACCAAGGTTGAGTTTTTTCACATTATTAGATATATTGCTATTGCTTTGATGGTACATACAGATAGCACTGTACAACAGTGGTGTCTGTTTAAAGTTCTTGTTTGGATTGACATTTATTTTCAGTTTCAGTCCTTAAATTACTCAGCTAGTGTTGTGAGTTCATGTTTAACCGTCTCATTCACGTGTCGAGCCTTTCTCCATGAAACACACCAATCAGCATGTACCGTTAAAAAAAGCAGGTTTGATTTAAAAACACTTCAGAAGAGGAGCCTCTGAATGCTTGATGATGCTCAACGTATGACAGATAGAGATTTATTGTTATTGAATGAAATTTAATACCATAAAATAAAATATTTAAGAAACCGAGACGCGATCGACACAAACATCGGTGTTATTTTACGTTACAGAAATAAAATGATTTTAGTCGTTTTGCGTTGAAATTGACTTGTTTTTAAAATGAAGCTTTTCATTTGAATGTGTCTCATGAATGTAGAGGAGAAATAAAATGTTTTGTTTATTCAAAGAAATCATATCAATTTTAACAGAGCTGGCTGTTAAATTGTGTTCAAAGAGTTCTGTATTTACAGGTTTGATCATGTCAAAGTTTTTATGTACCCATTAGGAACTACATCGCTGCATATTTACTGACTGGCTAATGTATGCACTGAGTCGTATTCCTCCATGACAAAATGCTCCGCTTCAGTTCCTCCTCCACAAGGCCTGAGAAGGTTTTTAATGGACCACGTCAGTGACGACACAGAGGATCCAGTAATCCCAGGAGTGCTGAGCTACAAAATCACACCAGCCAGTAAAGAAAAAAAAAAAAACACTCTGAGGCTCACGTGTTGAACGATAGAAGACATTATCTGTTAAAAACTACACGATTCATGTTTGTCCCTGCTGTTCGTTACGGTCCGTTTGTGTGGTTTCCTTTGTGTAGTGTGTGACGTTTCCACTGGTCAGACCACAGGGTGAATCAGTTGGCATCAGCCTCACAGCAGCACGTGTGTGTGTGTGTGCAAGTGAGGAAGTGCAGACCGATGAAAGTTCATTTCTTATGTGTGATGAATGTTTGTAAGATTAAATTATCACTGAAAGCTACAACCTTGAACTGTGTGCTGTTTCGTGTGAGATGTGATCTATTTATCCTTCCATCCAACCAAACCAAGTATCTGCAGTGTTTTAGGGACACATTATGATTTTTGTCTGAGCTCAACATTTATAAATCTTTAACAAAGAAATGTCAGGCTGCACACAAGAACGATCCCCATTTGTGACAAATCACATCAAACAGGATTAAGTCATATTCAGTCCAATGAAGCTAAGCACATTTTCAGATTCTTGACTTTTTAACAGCTGGATCATCCTGATCTCATGTTCCAAGGAAATGGCTTGATCTGTCTTCCTAATCAAAATAACTCAGATTCTAAATCCTATTTTTTATGTAATTTTAAGAAGAAACCTCAAATAGTACATTTATTTGGATATTAAGATAAACCAGCTGGGGAGAAAGAAGAGCTTTAAAGCAGGTAAAATGTAAAAAAAAAACTTGAGAGTTTCACTTTTCTGCTTTGTACTAAAAATAAAAAAAAAGTGATTATATTTCAGATATTTAAACAATAGAAGGCATGTGTGCTGTTATATTTTGACAAAATTCAATTGCAAACGTTTTAATCGATTAACTATCTGCCACCACACACCACTCTGTGACTCCTCGGTTCGATGGTAGTGGTCACCCTTGTTTCTAGGTAGGTCATGGGGTCAAAGGTCAAGGTCAAAGTTGACCCCGGACTAATTCTGCTACTGTGTGTTGTAGGATTGTCGAACTGCATGATTTGCATTTATACTGACCTTCAGAAGAGCTTTCACAAGATACAGTGGGGTGTTGATGGCGCATGGAGAGCAGAAACAGTGGGAAGATTAGGAGGAGGGTTGAGCTTCGCTCTGTACAGGCCAGCTCTGGGACGTGAAATAAATTTGAAGGGGAAGTTTTTTTTAATTGTTATTTTTTAATTTGTGACATTTTCTCTATGTCTAGATCAGGGGTGCCCAAACATTTTCCCTCAGAGGGCCAAAATTAAAATCTGAGGGTGGCGGGCCAAATGCAATAATACAAACACATGAAATGCAAATACTTTTCAAGTAAAGTTTTATTTTTTATGATTAAGCTGGCAGCCAGTGTGGTTGCCCACATTCTTTTGTTTGTTTTCAGCCCTTGGACATGGAGAAAACTCAACGTACGCTCGGGCAGCAAAGTCTCATGAGACTTTTCATAATTTAAAATTTGACTATATGTGGACTTATAAGGTGTGCAAATCTAGATATGGACTTAAATCTAATCTAAATGTTTTTTGAAGTTTCCTGTATTTTTATTTAATCTTAACGTAATTCAAAGATAAAGTGAGTACCATGAGTTAAGACTATCTGACTACAGTACATATAGTTGGACCAATGGTTGAGAAGACTAAGTGGAAATATACAATAGTGTTTATACATAAAACAGGAGAATACAATCTAGTAATAACCAGGACAACTGCTGGTGGGTCAAATCAAATGGGTTGGCGGGCCAATTTTGGCCTGCAGGCCCCACTTTGGGCACCCCCTGGTCTGGATCCATGCAAAATGGTGGAAAATACATGTAATTTACAAACAATCCATACAGCTTGGCCTGTATGAACAGAACACCTCACGTGTTAAGATGAATCTTTGATTTAAAGGTCAAAGGTGACCTTCTTGGTTAAAACCTTGTTTATGCTCCAGCTTGACATTTGAATAAGGAAAGTTAAACCCTGATTGTTGCTATCTGTCCAACCAGAAAACCACACACAGGAAGTTGTTCATGGTGTATATCTCTTCAAATGTTCAGGACAATAAATGTCATCAGAATATGGCTTCATATTGGGTTTAATTTTTTTTATTAAGACCAAACTAAATCTTGAGTAGTACTTGTGCAGTCTGCTTCTTTGATTATGTAATGGCTGGTGGTCAGCAGATAAGTTGTAGCTGACAGGTGCAGTTTCATGTCCCTACATGTTCTGTAACTGATCTGTTTATTGATTTGCACCATGGACGTCATCATCAGTAAAACCCCATCATAATCATGTACTTTATAGAGAAATATGCAGGATTTTTGGGTTAGAGAATTCATGCTTTGGATTTCAATTATTCTGACAACTTACTGACAGGCGTGTGAACCACTGAGGTACTCTATAGTTCTATATCATAGTATTACTATATTTACTAAGTATTTCAGTGTTTCATGTTTACTTTTTTGGACATGTTTGTAATTAAAACAACTTCCTTAAGTAGATAGTTCAAACCCTCTATAGTGGGGTTTTAGGTAGAGCTTATTAACAAACAGTATTTTACCTGCTATAGATAGCTCATTTGGAAAAAATAAGAATTTAATTCTGGCCAGATTTACAAGCTATTGGATAATCTTTGTGGGCCAAGTTCAAAGTGGGTTGGTTTTTGTATTACACGGTTGTTAACTCAAATTCTGTGGTTATTTATAAGTGCCAATAGTAGCTTTAGCAGTTTTTGTACATCCTGGGAGCACGTCTTGCAGGATTATCATAATTTTTGTGTTGGAATAACCATATAATGTTAAAATCATGCTAATGTGGTTTATAAAAATATTGATCAGCTCAGACTGTATTGATGAACTAATATTTGCTGGTCTGCATGGATGCACTTCAAAAGCTGATTTAAACACATTTAAACCAATCCAAAATTCCAAACTTTAAAGTTGGGTATTAAAATTAATTTTTTTAAACCTTTAGAGACAATTTTTCCAATTATTTGGAAAAATTCGGAATTTCCTGCTGAGTTGACCACAGGTTGTAACAGAAATGCTTCATCTTGCTGCTGTTGTTGCAAGTAACCAATAACCGTGTTGAGAAATCGACAGCAGTGTAAACATGTATAAAAGTTCGTTGATCAGGACTGCTATGAAAATTTGGAGATTGGAGCTTGTCAATATAACAGCAATGGCTTTGTTTGATGTAGCTATGTAGCTGTTACCTTGTCAGTCACACCATTTTTAAATAATTTCTCCCAGATGAGGTCATTCAAAAAGCTACATAAGATTGTTCATAAACTTTCAGCTAAATACTCAAGGGGTCATCCCTATGTGCCCCCAATACACCCACCCCTACGCTCTCTATGTACCAACCCAGACCAGAGCAGACAGCCAGCTACGTTACTTATGTTTCCTGCAATGCCTGCTCTATAATTCAATATTTTTTATCTTATTTTTAAAGAACAGGCAGCCAAGTATCTTTCATTACCTTCATTATTAACCTCGGGAGAACAGAGGTACCAGGAGACTAGGTACCAGGATACATATAGGTACCAGGAAACATAGGTACTGGGGATAGGTATGAAATCAAATTTCACTTTAAAATGGTCAAAAAATAACCATAAAGTCATTCTCCTGTCTCCAGTTTTACAAAACGTTTAGAATTTTAGGCAAAAACAATCTCTTGGATTAAAACAAGAAAACTATCACACGTGAAACTACACAAAAAAACACACAGACAGCACCGTTTTGAGGTTGTTTTTTTTTTCAACAAACTTGTTTCCCTTTCAAATCAATATTGCAATATTGACACCATCACAGCAAATTGGATTTTTTTTAAATATATAACTATGGTCATTATTATCTGTGATCATAATCACCTTTATGCATATTTAAATGAACTTCTTGTTACACCAAGATGAACAGGCACTACACCAGTTAGGAGATAAAAGTACATCACTAACTATGAACATATATATACCTTCTAGACCGCTAAGACGGGTTTGTTTGTTTTGTTTTTTTCACAAAGTGAGCTGCATCCCCCTGTGTGCATAAGGAAGAGATCAACATAAAAAAGCATTTACATGTACACCTTTTTTACTGTCTCAACATAGTTAGGTCTCGTTTTCAACTCAACACAGATGTACAGTTACAATAGAATATAATCTTTAAATTACATCATCATATACAAATCTGACAGCGTGGGATAACGTCACGCCTTGTATGATACACTGACAATTCCATTGCAATAAAATTCATACGTACCTATTACTTAATATATTTTCCGTTGCTGTAATTGAATGAAACACATTTACATGTATAACACTACATTTTGTTTTAATAGTCAATGACTTGCATTTTTTTTATTCTTTTTAAATTTTTTTACAACTTTTCATTACATTTACACAACTCATACACACTGGATGATAAAGTTGTTTTACCCCGAAGTATTAACCTGGTGATGTAGATTATGTGTTGAAACTTTTGTGCATCGTTAGTCTAAAACCTGTGTGTTTACACTCACCGGCCACTTTATTAGGTACACCACGCTAGTAATGGGTTGGACCCCCTTTTGCCTTCAGAACTGCCTCAATTCTTTGTGGCATAGATTCAACAAGGTGCTGGAAGCATTCCTCAGAGATTTTGGTCCATATTGACATGATGGCATCACACAGTTGCCGCAGATTTGTCGGCTGCACATCCATGATGCGAATCTCCCGTTCCACCACATCCCAAAGATGCTCTATTGGATTGAGATCTGGTGACTGTGGAGGCCATTTGAGTACAGTGAACTCATTGTCATGTTCAAGAAACCAGTCTGAGATGATTCCAGCTTTATGACATGGCGCATTATCCTGCTGAAAGTAGCCATCAGATGTTGGGTACATTGTGGTCATAAAGGGATGGACATGGTCAGCAACAATACTCAGGTAGGCTGTGGCGTTGCAACGATGCTCAATTGGTACCAAGGGGACCAAAGAGTGCCAAGAAAAGATTCCCCACAACATGACACCACCACCACCAGCCTGAACCGTTGATACAAGGCAGGATGGATCCATGCTTTCATGTTGTTGACGCCAAATTCTGACCCTACCATCCGAATGTCGCAGCAGAAATCGAGACTCATCAGACCAGGCAACGTTTTTCCAATCTTCTCTTGTCCAATTTCGATGAGCTTGTGCAAATTGTAGCCTCAGTTTCCTGTTCTTAGCTGAAAGGAGTGGCACCCGGTGTGGTCTGCTGCTGCTGAAGCCCATCTGCCTCAAAGTTCAACGTACTGTGCATTCAGAGATGCTCTTCTGCCTACCTTGGTTGTAACGGGTGGTTATTTGAGTCACTGTTGCCTTTCTATCAGCTCGAACCAGTCTGCCCATTCTCCTCTGACCTCTGGCATCAACAAGGCATTTCCGCCCACAGGACTGCCGCTCACTGGATGTTTTTTCTTTTTCGGACCATTCTCTGTAAACCCTAGAGATGGTTGTGCGTGAAAATCCCAGTAGATGAGCAGTTTCTGAAATACTCAGACCAGCCCTTCTGGCACCATCAACCATGCCACGTTCAAAGGCACTCAAATCACCTTTCTTCCCCATACTGATGCTCGGTTTGAACTGCAGGAGATTGTCTTGACCATGTCTACATGCCTAAATGCACTGAGTTGCCGGCATGTGATTGGCTGATTAGAAATTAAGTGTTAACGAGCAGTTGGACAGGTGTACCTAATAAAGTGGCCGGTGAGTGTATATTAATGTGTGTGTGTGTTTGTGCTGAGCATGTGAGACATGTCTGACAACACAAATTATTTTTGCTATGCTGGACCCCTGTAATCTAAGACACACCTTGTAAGCTGGTGATGTGTTTCTCCTCATGCATGGGGGAGTGACCAATCTGTGAATCCTGTTTTGGACACAAGGACTAAACACTGAACCTCTGCAGGTTCAGTGACTTTTCTAAGTTACCAGTGGTGGGCACAGCGAAGCACAACGTTAGCTTCACTAACTCATAAACTGCTCACAAAAAGCTGTCTCAATTTAAGGTTTGCAACCCATCCAGACTGCAGCCTTCAAAGTATGCCTGAGACGATGACATTACTGTATGTTTTCATGACCACACACTACTCCGTTACCATGCTGTTGGGTTTTATATCACATTGCCTACAAATGCTTTAAACCTAAAATGCATTGGAACATGTATTCACACGCCTTTTCATGTATAATTTCTCAAAATTTAATGTGTTTTTTTAAAAACATTACTCGTAAATACACAAAAGATGTAAATAATTTGGGTTTAGCTCCAGTATCAGCACTGTGACTTGATAACAGTATTGTGAAATTTTATTTTAACGTGACTCCAGTTGCTATTTAGGTTTTTATTATATTGCATTGTTTTAAATTTACTCATGTGGCTTTCAGTGTTTTGTGTTTATTGTTATACAGTGGTCTGCTCAAAATGTGTATTCTTTTTGTCCATAAGTCTGTATGATTCGTATAGGTAAAATAAAATGAAAAATTAAAAAGTTCCACTATTCGTACATGTCATTTAACATTGCATCGCAGCATTTATTTCATTAGCTAAGTTGCTATACAACCAATTATTCGGTCGGTGATGACTTTCCAAATTCTGCCTTTTTCTTTTTTCTGTAAAAAATTGATGACGACCCAGTGAATCTTAGGATATCGTAGGTTGTAAAGGATACCCTGGTGCAGCCTTTATTTTTGGGGGACACATTTGTCAGACTCATGAGAAGGAGCTCACGAAATGGGACAGCCTTTGGCGCGATGCACTCCGAATGATGCAGTCCTTGAATTGAGACCTATAGCTTTGTTAACATTAAGCATGTAAAGAAAATAATGGAAGCTATTGATAAACTGCTAAACAAGTAAAAATTAGCAGAAGCTAACACTAACATCTAATCGCTAACCGCTAAGACGACTGTCGCTCAGACTGCGCCACACGTCTTCGTCTCCTTCCAGCTGAAGACTGGTGGGACCGCCGCAAACCTGTTGACATTAGCTTGTTAGTTAGCTGTTAGTGGACCTAAAGCTGACAAAACATCATTTAGTGGAAGCAAATTGGTCCGCTAATGGTTTTCAAAGTTAGTGAAAAAGCTAATCTGCTAAACATAAAATTTGTTTGTTATTAGATGATTAGTGAAACCATGCCCACCACTGTAAGTTACCAAAAAAAGAAGCCACCATCTATTCAGAGATTTAGCTGCAATTTCTAATAAAACTCAACTATGATGAATGTAAATTCCTGCTATAAATGCATTTTTAGAGAGTGAATGGATCAAGTGTGAGCTCATGCAGTGCACCACTATGGTCCCTGTGTCATTTAGCAGGGTTTTTTGTAGACAAAGGAAGATTTGGGTGGACTGGGAAGCAACACGTTCAGTGAAGATATGCATGAAGAGAAAATTGATGGTTACTGGGTTGTTCTTTGGCTCAGCAGGGAAATGGGCCACAGAAACTAGTGCATTTAGTTAGAGAGGGCATCTTATGCAAATGTTTAGACCCTCTTTTAAGCCCAATCACTAGTACATTCATGTCCTTTTGGAGAGGTGTCTATCTTCAGACAGCAGCCTGTTGCACAGTAATGTCTCAACATGTCCTCATTAGCCTGTTTGCTCTTGGAAAGAGTCTCAGGCTCAGATATGGTTCAACACATCCTGGCACCCTCAAGATGACTCCGTCCACCTTGGCTCTGAGGGTTATGTATCACATGCACGTCTTGTGAGCAGAAGTTGATTAAAGTGAGACCGGATTTGTTTGAACCATCAATGAAAGCTTCTGCAGTAAATCGTAAATCCTTTCCATGAGTTTTTTTTGTTGTTGTTGTCGTTGCATGACAATGTCAAAGGATTTACAATGTTGAGGATGACACGGATGTTAAAAAAACACAAACAAACGTAAAGTTCAGTTCATCGAGAAGCTTGTTTTTCTCGTGAAATTACAAGCATGTGCATTTCCAGAAGCATGTAATGCTGCATTGTTTTGGAGTTCAAGTGTTGCATCAAGTTGTAGCCTAAACCAGGCTGCAGGATACTGGGAATGCAAAGTCTTTTACATAGCGCATGCTGCTATGTAAGTCCAGAAACAGTTCAAAACACATAACACACACACACACTGGAAAAGAGGCTGGACCAAACTGCAAAGAAAAAAACAAAAACAAAAACAAAAAAACCAAAACAAAAAATAAATAAATAAAAACGCGGATACTGTTTGTGGTACTTTTAACGATACACAGCATTCCTGTTGCAAGAATGACGTACACAGCATTAACAATGCTACACAAAATGGCATCACACTGTGTATATATACAATGCAGGTTAGAGAAGCTCATCTTTGTTAAATGGGTAAAACTGATTATATTATGTTCCCTTTTTCCACAAGAGAACGCGTCGTAAAACACTGTGAGATATAATGAGCTGCACCGTATAATAAATACAGCTACAGGGAGAAGCAATGTGTTCCTGCACTGTCTGGGTGTTATAGCTGAGTGCGTGTACACTGGAATAACTGCGGCTTTTGATTGTGTTAGTCCACCCACCCTCCCCCAAATGCTGGATAGAGTATGTTATACAGTGTCTATCTTTTCTTTTATCTTTTTTAGCTTACTAAGTTTTATTTAGGAGAGACTGCTTGGCTCTTCTTTGGGGCAAGGGGATGTGTTGCTCTTAAGTCTCTGGCTATGTGCGGTACGTTTGGACGGGACGGTTCAAGCTGCCTCCAGCGGCATGTCTTTGTCCAAGGAAAGAGACTAGATCGACTCAACATAATTGGCTGGGTACAGTCCCTCCTGGCCGCTGTCTAAACGACCTCGACACCAGCCTTGCTCGTCTTCGTCCTCGATCTTGGTCAGCTCGTCACCTGTTGGGGGGGAAATATTGACATTTAATCAGCACAAGTCAGTGCGTTCATGCAAATATAAGGATTGGATGTTTTCAGGAGCCATGTTTTTACACTTAAGACTTTATGGAACACTAACTGAGGCACAGTTCTTTGTAGTCTATAAAAAAAAACTAATTTTTTGGACTTTTTAAAAACATTTCTTTAATGCATGTAAAATAATCATTACATCGGATGAGCAACCCACATAGCAGACATGAAAGGGCCCAACCTAGTCACGCTGGTTCTGCTAGCTAACTGCTGGCATGGCATGTGGTTTGTCAACTGCATATGGGACAGGTGTGGCAATGATGGCATGCCACAAATAACACGATTGTGGTTTGGTTTTTATGACCCGAATATGGCAATGCCACAACTGGCCTAGTTGTTTCTTTGCTAATCTTAACCTTAACCTACTTTTTTTGTTTTTGCTATGTAGGGAATTAAATGAACTGCCACAGTTTTTTTGAGATTTGAGTTATTTTAAGATGATAGCTTTCCACTTTAGTATTTAAATTGTCAAGCCAATGAAGCCAAGGTTGTTAGAAGAAATACTAAACAGAATAATCTTCTTTTATTCATAATTTTATCAATGTATAAAACAGAAAAAGAATGTTATTACAATGTTTCTTGCGCTTTGATGTAAATCACTGCTTGGACTTTAACTGTGAAACCACAGTAATTGATTATAGATTTTTAAGTTTAAATATTTTACTTAACTAAACTTTGCATTATAGCTAAGCTTTACATTTTATAATTATTTTTATCTGAATCATTATAATGACTGTTCTGTATGAAATAATTCATTTTTAAGTTTTCAGTAAATCATTCTTTTGTTCTTTAAATTGCTCTCAGCAGAAGAGCAGGTCAGAACAGACTGTACAACATGTGCAGATGTCAACATTTTTGTTTAAGACAAACAACACCTGTCAGTGCTCAATAACACTTTCTCTCTTTTAAAACTAACATCTCTAACTAACACAGTCAGTCAGTCTGTGAAGTTGAGCTGAAAAGCGAAGGCTCTGATACTTCACGAGGAGAACCAGCCTGGACAGACCAACACTCGGTCTCGTCCATGTTTAGCTTACCAAAGTTCCTCACAGAGAAACTTTTGTTTTGAAACTTCCAAGTGGAAGTTTTCTATTTTTGAGACGGACACTGAAGTTCCTCGTCTCTGATCTTCGATTAGCAGCAGCCCAGAGAAGACGCTGAAGGAGTAACATAAACACGCCTGGAAAGTGTCCGAGTGGATGAGATTCCGAGAAGTTCTTCACCAAATTGGACGATCTTTCCTCCGACTTGAGCCACGGTGATGAAAGAATCCCTGGTCAAGGTAATGGCTATCGTTACTGCGTGTACCTGAGGTTTGGCTGGATTTGTTGAGAGACGTCTGCATTTCTGGTTAAAATCCACGTTCATTAGAGGGGGCGCTTTACAGAGCTCCGTGTCACTGCCTTCATTTAACATTTATTTACTACACCAAAGATATTAATTTTGTCACCGAGGGAGTAGCTGGCATCCGTCTCTTCAGGTTACTTCAGTTTTGGCATCTCACATTATGCCTAGGAAAGACGAAGCCCAGAAGTCGACCGCTCACGCGGGCTCCGCTGTTAGCAACGAGGCTATCTTAGCCGCCGTCAATAGCCACATAGATGATCTTTCTAAAGTCTACACACTCGTGGATACTCTCAAGAAATCACTGGAAGGACGTCTGGACTCCATTGAAGCTTGTTTAACAACCCTGCAGACAGAGCACAGTGAGGTCCGGTGTTCTGTCAGATCAGCACACATGTCAGAGTAGCATACATACCGCTGATCGCAAAAGGTCCGCAACTTGCAGAGGAGCCATCAGATCAGATACCGTCCTGACAGAACAGTGTTCCCTGCGTTTTCCTGCCAAGCTGCAAGTGTCTTTAAATGACACTGTGAAAATCTTCACTTCACCGACTGATGCAGAGCGGTTTGCCAATTCATTGACTCATATTAAGTGACTTTGTTAATCATTCTATGCTAAAGTTAGTCTGCAAGTTCGATTAAGCTTTGGTGCACATTTACATTTATACAGTTTCTGGAGGTAAACATGGCCTGTTGGGTTTAGATTACCTTCTTGGGGTTTCTTTTTTCCTTTTTTTTTGCTCTGTTACCCGGCAGCCTCCACTCTAGATTGTGGGCTATGCCGCTTAGTTCATGTTGCGGCAAGGGTGAGTTTATGGGTTTCTGTTTCTGCTTTGTTGCTGTTAAATTTCCTGTGTTTTGTTTTGTTTTGTTTATCCTGTCAGCTGCTTTTTTTAAGTTGTGATAAATGCAGGATAATAGTACTTTTAAGTCGGACATGAGTCCTATTAATTTTGTTTCCTGGAACTGTAGAGGCCTTGGTAAGGCACTTAAAAGAGCAAAGGTGTTTTCACATTTAAAATCACTTTCATCTGATATTGTCTTTCTGCAGGAGACTCATATTCACCCAACTGAGCAGAGACGGTTGAGAACTTCATGGGTTTCTCAGGTTTACCAGGCTAATTTTTCTTCCAAAGCTAGAGGGGTTGCAATCCTTATCCGCAAGTCAATTCCATTTATTTTTAACTCCATGTCTGCAGATCCGGGGGGAAGATATGTACTTGTCACTGGCGAAATTAATTCCATCCCTGTTGCCCTTTTGAACATTTATGCCCCAAATTGTGACTTTCCCGACTTTTTCTGCAAGATATTTGACATTATTGCACAATTTAATAATAGGGACATGATTATAGGAGGCGACTTCAACTGTTATCTCGATCCGGTGTTGGATAGGTCCTCCAATAAGGTCGCTTCTTCTTTGAAATCAGTGTCTGTTATAAATAATCTCATTAAGTCACTAAACTTAGTGGATATCTGGAGGCTTCAGCATCCTTCTGATCGTAAATACTCCTTTTTTTCCCTCCCATGGTAGTTTTACCAGAATTGACCACTTTTTAATTGATTCTAAATTAATCTCACGCACAGTCAGTTCACTTTATCACGGGATCTTAATTTCAGATCACGCCCCTCTGTTACTTCAGATCCACTTTAATCTTCABGCTCCATCATTTAACTGGAAATTTATCCCCCCCCTCAATTCTGATCAAGCATTTAAGGACTTCATTTCAGCTAAAATCTCAGATTTCCTTCTTTTTAATGACAAAGGTGACGTGTCTGATTCAGTTTTGTGGGAGTCATTTAAAGTGGTTCTGAGAGGCAACATTATTTCTTATCAGTCTTCRATCAAAAGGGCCAGATCACAGCGTTTTGCAGATATTCAGGCTGAATTGGCTGTTTTGGAGGACAGGTACCAGAATTCAAATGATGAAAATATATTTAATGCCATTCTGAAGCTAAAATCTGAATACAATCACATGCTTGGGGAACAAGTCGGTGCTTCCATTCGCAGACATAAACAAAAGCATTTTGAACTGGCGGACAAGCCTGATRGATTACTTTCCAGACAAATAAAAGGCACACTGGCAGATAGAGCTATTCATAAAGTTTCCTCTCCTTCTGGCCAACTGTTAACTGATCCTAAACTCATTAATGATGCCTTTTTCAATTATAGTGATTTATACACCTCCAAGAGTAGTGCTACCAGTGCGGATATTAAAGTCTTTCTAAACAATTTAAATGTACTGTACCTGTCCTGGATGAATCCGCCAGGGCACACCTTGACTCTAGCTTTACTATTGAAGAAATTAAATCTGCGATACGTTCTTTATCTTCTGGTAGGGCTTGTGGTCCKGATGGGTTTGGAATAGATTTCTATAAATGCTATTTGGATCTGGTTGCCCCTCTTCTTCTGCGTATGGTGAACTCCTCTGTGGTGGAGGGAGTGTTTGATGCTCATATCTGTCTTCTCCTGAAGAAGGGCAGGGATGGTTCTAATGTTGCATCATGCTGCCCTTTAAGCTTACTAAATGGTGACCAAAAAATAGTAGCCAAAGTATTAGCTACTCATTTAAATAAACGCATAGCTCATCTGATCCATCCTGACCAGACTGGCTTTATCCCCAACAGGTATTCTTTTTCAAACACTCGTCGACTCTTAAGTGTTATGTACCAGTCCAACCTTCCTGCCTCTGCAGTTATTTCATTAGATGCTCAGCAGGCATTCGACCAAATTGAATGGACTATTTTTTCTTGGTTCTCTGAAAATTTGGCTTTAGCGATAAATTTATGACTTTACTAAAAATGCTTTACGCTCAGCCCAAATCTTCAGTTTTGACTAATCACGACAGGTCTGCTTCGTTTTTATTACATCGCAGAACCAGACAGGGGTGCTGTCTTTCTCCGTTGCTATTTGCACTGGCCATGGAACCCCTTGCTATTTCCATCAGGACCCATCCATTGATCACTGGCATTTCAGACTATGCTACAGATAGTCCCATTGGCCTGTATGCGGACGATGTTATCCTGACCCTTTCAGAYGTTACAGTCTCTCTTTCCCCACTTCTTACTCTTATAAATAAATTTGGAAAGCTTTCCGGTTTTGCTATTAATTGGGATAAAAGTCTTTTTATGCCTCTTTCAGATGGCCTGGATGCTGCTTTTCTTAGCAATCTGCCATTCAAAGTTTCCACTAGTCRTTTTGAGTATCTGGGGATAAATATCACAAGGGACCCTAAACTCCTTTTTAAACATAACTTTCTGGATTTAATCAACAAAATTAAAACCATGGCCGACATGTGGAGGCACCTTCCTCTTTCATCGAATGGTCGCGTCAAAGTTGTCAAGATGGTGGTCCTCCCAAAATTTACCTATCTTTTTCAAAATATACCCATTTATCTCACTGCTTCCTTTTATAAGATGATAGATTCTATTATAATCCYTTTTGTCTGGGCCGGTAAGCACCCTCGAATATCAAAGTCTCACCTACAGAAACCTGCTACAGAGTGGGGTCTAGGCCTTCCTGTTTTTCGATACTATTACTGGGCGTGTAATGCCAGATCCTGGGTTTTTTGGACTCAGCTCTGTTCGAGGGGTGAGGTGGTTGACTCGCTACTACCCAAATGGCCGTTGAATGAAAACCTTGCGTTATTAGAGCTTACTTCTTCTTCCTCTGCTGCGGTATTGTTTTCCAATCCTTCTTTGTCCTTTCAGTTGCTGAAGGATAATTTTATACTAAAAAATTCACTCAGGATTCTAAAGCAGTTAAAGACTGTCCTGAATCTCCCTGGCTTGTCCATCTATGCCCCGATTTGTCAGAATTCAGCATTTAAGCCAGGCAATATGGATGTAGTTTTTAAGCACTGGTAAAATAAGGGGATAGTGCTGTTAAGGATTTACACATTAATAATCACTTTGCTTCTTTCATGCAACTACAATCAAAATTCGGTCTTCCTTCTAGCCATTTTTTCAGGTATTTGCAAGCTCGGAACTTTGTAAAACAGCACCTCCCCCACTATGAAACCTTACCAGCACAGCATAGTTTCTATGAGCTTATAAAAAAGCCCCCTACCTCAAAAAACCTAATTTCTCAGTTTGTTAATCTTTTCAGTTCACCCCCATCTACTAGACATATAAAGGAGGCCTGGGCTTCTGATCTGACTGGTGAGATTGCGGATGAGCAATGGGATTTGTCCCTTTCGAGAATCAAAACCTGTTCCATTAACTCTAGACTGCAACTTATTCAATTCAAAGTTATCCATCGGCTGCACTTCTCTAAAACTAAACTCAATAGGTTATTCCCCTTCGTCTCACCAAAATGCGACAAATGTAAATTAGATGATGGGACTCTGGGTCATATGTTTTGCTCTTGTCCTAAACTAATGGACTTCTGGTGCAGGATTTTTGAMTTTTATAGCAACGCTTATGGCAAGCCCCTATGTCCGGATTGGCATTTGATAATTTTGGGTTGCTCTAAATCCTCTCTTGCTCTTCCCATGTCCCTGCAACAGTCTCTAATGTTTGGTTTAGTGGTAGCAAAACGCGTTATTCTTCGGGAATGGAAATCCTCTACCCCGCCTTGTTTTAAGAAATGGCTTAATGATATGGTGTCCTGTATCTATCTTGAGGAAATTCGATACTCTTTGTCTGACGATCATCAGAAGATCCTGGATGTGTGGGGTCCTTTCAATAGATACATACAAAATAATAGGCTAAAATAACTGTCGTTTTCATCTGAACTGTATTTTCTTTTTATTTTATTCATTTACCGTTTTGTTATTTTTTCTGTGATAACTTGTTTTTTCATCTTGTTATTCCATATTCTATGGTGAGCTGTTTGATTCAATGTCTTCAGTAATGACTGTTGCTCGCTTGGACTCTGTCTCATGCTTGATAACACTCTATGGTCTGATATGTACTTATTTTATCCTCTTATCATAAACTTTGTTAGCTGACAGTGTTTCGATTGTTCTGTCTTGTGGATTTTTGTTTTTGATGTTTTTGTTTGTTTTTTGTTTTTTTTTCCCTTGATGTTTCATCTTCTATATTGGCTGTTTTTATTCTTGAAAATCATAAATAAATATTTAAAAAATCCACGTTCATTAAAGGTTAAAGTTAAACTAACTAACCACTCTTCCTCCTCCTTTATTTCCTCTTAAACCTATGCCCTGCCTAACACTTAAAAGTGCAACAAACAAATGGTTTATTAACATCTAAACCTCAAAGTTTGTTGTTAAACTTTTTATGGGAAATTAATCTCACAATAAGCTGCACATTAGTGATTTATTTGATTCTGCAAATAAATAAATGATCTGATCTTGTTTATTTTAGAGCAACTTAAACTCACTGAGTACGCTCATATTATTGTGTGTTTTGTCCATTCATTTTTGTAAGAAGATATTATCGAAAATAAAGTGATCCTTGCTAAAATAATTCCTTATAACCTCATTATAAGAAGTGTGGGGGTGAACCCTACATTCATAACCTTTTCCACAGACGCCCCTCCCCGCTGAATTATTGCTTTATTAGACTTCAGAATCCCACTGATAAGTGTTGTTTATTTTCCCAGGAATAACTTGTTCTGATAAATTCAGGCTTTCCTTCCTTTAATTGTTCTTCTAGTACTAAAAATAAAATCCAAAGTTCAAAGCAGAAGCAGCAGCGTGATAAGCTTATAAATTTAGTCTCCTGGAGGTTGCTATGACCTCGATTTCACAGAGAAGAAACTAAAAACTCTCAACTCAATAAATAAAATGAACATTTTCATAACAAATACAGCCAGAGCCAGTAAGAGAGCTCAGTGGAGGAGGAGGCTCAGACTGGCAATTTAACAGTTTTGGCAAATGCCAGATGGGGCTGCGGCACACAGTGGACTGACAGGGCAACGGAAATGTGGACAAGAAAAAAATGTGACGAAGAATTTGATTTCCACTTGATGGAACAACCATCAGTTTTACAGATTATATTACCCTGTATTAAGGATTTATAACGTAGCATAGATGTAGGGAGTGTACCTTCATGTCCAAAAATATAATGATGATAATTTTTTAATTTATGTTCTCCTCAAAATAAACATTGTCCTCTTCACTGAGTTTGATCTGGAATTGGAAAATTATGGAACTACTCTTATGGAAATTTTACTGTCTAAAACTTGCATTTATAAACCCATATTTAAAAAATGAACCAGTATTTCACACCTTAACTGGTGTAAAAAAAGTATAATATTGCCTTTTTAAAATGGTCAAGACGTCCCTTCTTTGCACAAAACTGGTGTTAACTTATCTCTTCAAAAAAATGTAAACATTCAAGAGTGTGACAAACGGAGACTTAAACTTCAGATTTTAGATAAAGTTTTTAAACTTAAACATAGGAGGGTGGATCTACTGCAGCCTCCAGTAACAAAGGTGAAGAGGAAACCGAGGCCTTCCTGCAGAGTAGAAATGTGATCTGTGGCATCTGTATGGAAGATGTCTACGAAAAGAACGAGAGCGAGCAAATGTTTGGGCTTTTGCCAAACTGCAACCATCCCTTCTGCTTAAAATGCATCTCAACCTGGAGGAAGACTAGAGATCTCGGTTCTGATGTTGTAAGGTGGGTTTCAGCTATGGTTGAAGGTCCAGGCACAAACCTTAAAGGAGTTGACCTTTCACCCCGGTTTGCTGTTAAATGTTTAGGAATTGCCCGCTGTGCAGAGTGAGATCTGCTTTCTATGTGCCAAGCAAAGTCTGGATCGAAGGAGCGGCAAAGAACAGTGCAGTGGATGCATTCAAGAAAAAAGCCAGGCAAGTCACCGATGGTTCTGTTGATTTACTGTGCAGCAGGTCTAACTGCAGATGTTTGCTTTGGTCAGTGTTGGTAAAAACGGTGATCCAACATAGAGGCAGTTTTGAAATTACTGAAGTTTCCTTTTCTATCTCAAAACACATGATTTGTGTTGCATTTGAAAGATGTACACACGTGTAAGGAGTTTCTAACTGGTGTCACATTTGTGTGTTTCAGGAAGAGATGCAGTGTCTATGACCGAACTGGACACTGTCGCTTCAGATCAGAGTGCCTCTATCACCATGTCAGACATTAAAGTCATGTTGCCTTTTCAGTAAGGGTGCAGTCATTTTTGAAAGTTAAAATAATTTACTTCTAAAACACACATGTAGCATTTTCCTCCTTCAGTTAATAACTTCTGATGGATATAACTTGCTTCTATGACTGTTTAGAGGAAGAAATCAAATCTACTCATTTCAGACTTCTTTTAAGGATCTTGCATGTCCCTTTTGCCTCGGTTAGGGTTAAAATGGACGACCTTTCCTCCAACTTGAGCCATGGTGATGAAAGAATCCCTGGTGAAGTTAATGGCTATCGTTACTGCGTGTACCTGAGGTTCGGCTGGATTTGTTGAGAGACGTCTGCATTTCTGGTTAAAATCCACGTTCATTAAAGGTTAAAGTTTTAAGAATTTCGAGTTTAAACTTGTTTAAAAAAAGTGGTCAGATATGTCAAAGATGACTGCTTAAATCAACAATAGATGCTTAGTGGTCAGAGGAAATAAAGGATGAAGACGTACAGCTGTTTGTTCAGTTATTCTGTCTGTAGATTGTTTTTTAATCATTCTTTGTGCCAGTGACCTTTAATGCTCTTTTTGGTCCATTCCACAAACAGCTTGAGTTAATTGGTGCACGAGCCTGTAATTTGTTTTCTATGTAGCTGTTATTGACTAATCACTGGCATTTGCTATGAAGGAAGGAAGCTTTTAAACATAAATCAAGGCGCAGTTGTTGCTTTTTGAGCACCTGCGCCGTTATGCTGCAGCTCATCATTCTCTCCTCACGCTCCACACTGCAGCTATAATCCCATTCTGCCCGGTGTCCGCAGATAATTACCTGCTTTGAAGGTGAGCTCGTCCTGTTCCTGGCCATCGTAGTCATAGAGGGCACGCACACGGACCCCCCCTCTCCCGGTGCTGGAGTCGTCTTCGAACGAGTTCCTGTTCCCCCCGTTCTCGTTGCTCGAGTACGCTGTGGGCTGCTCGTCATCGGACCACTCAGCTGAATACGCTTGGTTCTTATCGTAGCTGCTCACACTAGAGGGGGGAAGGAAAACACGGATGCTGAACCTCTCTAATATGTACATAAAAACAAAATAGTAATTTCTTGAAATATCTTAAGATACTAACTGAAACATTCATTATAGTGAAGAACAAGAATTGACCTGCTTCGGTCACCAGGTGGAGCCACGTGGTCGGTGCTTGGAGTGGGCGGGGCTCCATCTGGTTTCTTCTTCTTTGGAGGAGCGGCTGCCTGGTCTGGGTTGTACTCCTAGTGGGAACAGTGTGACCGAAGCCGTTAAAGCGAATTAGATTCGACCAGGAAGTCTGCTTTGAGTGTGTGTTTTGTTCAGAAGGGGTTGAAGTTGCACCTCGAATACAGGCCAGTTCATGGGCATGCCCGGGCCGTGGTTGTTGCTGAACCACTTCAGGTCCTCTTGTGTGTTTGCCGACAGAATCATGCGCTCCAGTTCTCTGTATATTGTGGAATAGCTGAGGAGAGGAAAATAGGACACATGAAAGGGACAGTGGGGACATGAAGTTGCTGCCAGTTTGGCACCAGAATCTCACTAAGAGAAATCCAGAGCTGGGACTGCGTTCCCCTGAGGTTCCTGCACAAGCTAAAGCCTTTCAACACCTACAGGGAAAGCCTGGACATTTGTGAAGTGATATTCTGTCAAATAGTAATCAATGTTTAGTACTTTATCAGTCACTCAATACCATTTATGAAAAAAATGGCAGAGGTTTTTATTCAGGCTAGGCTAACGACTAGCCAAACTTGGGCCCCTTTTATATTGTTTTTCATGCTTAAAAAAACATCTTTCTCAAAAATGGCACAGAGCTCTGATAAAATGCTGCATTAGGTCATTTTAAATTGCTATTCTTTTTGTATGACACCATTTGTTCAGTTTGTTGCTGCTTTCTCAACTAAGAAATGTTCATCTTGGGGTGCTGAACATCACACCGATGTTAGGTTCAGAAAACAGCAGCAAATTAAAGAAACTGTTTCGTGCAAAAATGCAAAAGAGTTTTCTACTATAGCTAATATAGTGTTTTTTGTGTGACACTTTTGAGAGATTGATGATTTATAGGCTTAAAAAACCTATATTACAACAGGCAACTGTTTGGTTAGCCATTAGCCTAGCCTGGACGAAGACTTTTGCCTTTTTCTCCTCATGATGTCACAACTAACGAGGTACAAACTATTGATAACAATTTGACAGAATATCACTTTAAAAACTTAGATTTTAGGTATGTTCTCTGGTATCTATGTGCTCAAGTACAATGCCTGCACTATAATTCAATATGTTTTAAAATATATTTGTGGGTGCCAAGCATCTTTCAGGACTTTCATAATTAACCACAGGAAAACACTGGTAGTAGAGGACACAGGTATACACCCTAATTTTTTTAAAGATGAGACTGATTATGTTGCCAAATTTTACCTAAAAGGAATATGTAACAAAATATAAATTCATGTTTATCCACTGAATGTCGACTAATTTTAGGTGAAACATGCTGCGGTTATTTATAAGCAACATATTGTTGTAATTTTAGCCTATATGCGATAGTAAAATAAAAAGTGTGAAAATAAAAAAAAAATATATATATATATAATAATTTTTAGGTTAATCAAATCATTTAATGCAGTTATCTAAAAAAATATAGGTGTTGACAAATTTGTTTAAAGAAGGTGAAAACTTGCTCCTCCTTTTTGTTTATTCCATGTGGCTTTAAGCAACCTGTAATATGAGAAACACTCTGAGCAAAATTCATTTTGGCAGAAATCCCATCAGTTGAATGCTCAGTTAATTAGTGTTGGGAGCCTGACCACTAATGAAAAATCCACAGCTGGTTGATACTCGTGTTCAGATTCATCAGTATGAAGCAAATTGTGCTGATTGTGACAGAAGGCAAATTAAACTAATTAATTTTAAACCACGTTTGTCGTGTATTTTATTTAAATTTTTATGTTGAAGCGTGCAGTCCTTCTCAATGAAATAACAGTCCATTATTTATGTACATACCGTTTTCAGATTCTGTTTAATGAAAATGTTGTGATTTAGAAAATCGGATAAGAGCATGAAAGACTATGAAGACCACACAGGACAGCTTGGTGGTCAACACTGATGCCTCTCAGCAAAAAAGTCTTGGGTTTAATTCCCAGTTTGAATCTGGGGTCTTTCTGTGTGGGAGTTTGCATGTTCTTCTTGTTTGTGTGGGTTTTCTCCCTCAGTCTAAAAACATGCATGTTAGCCTGCCTTCAGGGCCAGACTTTCATTGGAAAAGAGATTTGTGACCTTAGTGGGATTAGTCTGTTTAAATAAAGATTAACAATAAAAAAACTGCAAAGGTGAAATTTATGGATGAGTAAAATAAAGCAAAGCTGTTCATAAAATCACAACAATTTGGTTAAAACTATCATTCAGACCTTCGGATGTGGGCTTCTGTGAAAAGATTATCAATAGTTAATATCTTACCTGTCATAAATAGCTCTTTGAATGGCCTCATTTGATAAAAAGTCTAATTCTAACCAGACTGATGAACTACAGGCTAATTTGAATAGGAACAGGATCAAACATGAGAATAATTCTGCTAAAACTATGGCTTTCTGCTGCTAACAGTAATTATGCTTGAAGATAATTATATAATCTTATGTACTGTTTAATGATAAATTTATTGCAATGTAAAACTTTTATAATGTTTGAATGAAGTTATGTTTTTTTGTTGGAATGGAGTTGTATTAATCCACTGCTAAAGCTAGCTGTTAGCTCACCCTAATCAGATTTAAACTATTTCTCCAAATTGACGTTCAAAACACTATACAACAGGTAAAATAATTGGTCATAACCCTGCCGCAGAACCCCCATTTGGCCACCTATTTACTGATTTTTAAATGTGTTAACTTTGTGCATTCTGTCACAGCTAACAGCTAGCCACCTTGTCCTCATCATACAGCAGCTATAAGTGTTCTGTGTAATTTTGGCTCTTTTCCGGTAAGACTGCAAAAGCCATTTTGTCCGCAATACTTGATTAAATGGTAGGGTTGCTACAGAACCTGCAGCAACAGAGGAGTTAAAAACCCAAACTTCAGCCACTGGCTGTAGTCCAAGACAGTCCAGCTAAGATTCACAGAGGCAGCTGAGTTACACTGAGAACTACCATAACTATTCTGACAGGCTGCTGAGGATGAAGAAAAAAAAGGCAGTGGGTAGACGCTGTAAAAACTTGTTCCTTCCGGGCCTGGCTAACCTTTGGTTCTCAGTGAGGTTAAGATGGCGTTTGATGTCCAGCAAGGCTTCCTTGAGGAAGGTCAGTCTCTTGACTTCATGCTGCTGGCACTGGTCAAACACCTGCTCCATGCTCTCCATGTACTGTGGAGTGCACTTGTTTAGCTCATCCAAAGACTTCTCGTACTTCTCTTTAGCCTGAGGAAGAGAAGAGGGAAATACATAAAGGAACTTGTTTCTGTTTTATCTTTGGTTTATTTAACTTCTTAAACTATCAGTAAAGTGTTTACCTTCTGCACATCCTGTTTGCATTTGTCCACTTTCTCATGAAGTTTCTTCTGTTGATCTGGAGTGACAGAAGCCTCCGTTTTGCCATTGGCCTCTCTGGCTGCAGCTAGCTTCTCCTCCTTGCAGGCCATATGGTATGTTTTCTTAGCCGCCTCCATCTGCAACGTCCAAAAACAGGCTTTGTCACAGCAGTACAATCTGCTGCTATCTCCTCAGTTCGAAATGGTTGCCACCGCTTGTGAGCCTTAGCAAATGCATTAACCACTGTAACTTCATCAATTTTACAAATACTGAGCTGAACTACGCTGTGGTAGTCACCAAGAGCTGTCCCCAACACATACTCTAAGCCACATGTGTCAAACTCAAGGCCCACAGGCCCGATGTGGCCTGCCATGGCGTTTTATGTTACCTGCGAGAGCTTAAAAGATGTAATAATGTCTTCAAATAAGCTGCTTTAAAGGCAGCATTGACCATAAACTACCTCTCCCAGAATGCATGTCAATTATTTCACCCCTGCAAAATGACATCATCCCACCACTAGGTAGCCGGTGTATTTCACTGTGTAAAACTTCCATTTCACTTCATTTTTGCTGGCTACTTGTGGTGCGGCCCAGTTGCACCGGGAAATGGAAAATTCCTTCTTACAAGTTGGAAATTTAAACTGGAACTCCCCTCCGGTGGGAATTCCGAGTTGGAAAGTAGGAGAGTTTAGAATCATAGATGGAAGCTACTCACCACACTTCAGAAGTGATTAAAATTCTCTTACTTTAACTTGTAATCATTTTTCTGTATTATTTATTTCATATTTAGTCAGTTGTACATGTAGTACTTTTCATTGTTTATAAGAGGACATGTTAAAACTCTGTTTGTATGCAGGAAAAACCAGGTAGAAGCTCAGTTATTGTTTGCTGGCGGTGCTCAGTCGTACGTGGCCCTCGATGAAAATAAGTTTGAAACTTAGTTTAACAAAATCTTTGTTAAAAGTGGAAAAAATGCAAGGTGGGGCGTGGTATGGACACCTTCAGTGGATTCTACTTTAATTGTTTTTAGATGTTCGACTCAATAGCTGTTAAACTGCAAGGTCAAGTTATTGAACCAGACTGAAGCTCTGCTTTTTTAGTACTTCTCTTTTGAGTAAGCTACACTTGATGATGACTTTATGCTGTGTTGTCAAGGAGAGATCAGAGGGTTTGACAACCACCCACCACCATCAATTAAGACTTGGACACACTCAAAACATTTTAAAACAGCAGGCTTTAGGGTAGAATTTCTATACTGCATATTACCTGGTTTGGTTGTGACTACTGTTACATGAACTTCACCCAGCTGTCATTTGTAATAAAACTTCTCATTCCAAGTTTCTTTCTAAACACATTTGTATCAGCTGCAAGCCAAACAAGCGTTAAGTCAGAAATGTGTAGTTTATTTCTCAACTGTCAGGACTCTTCGTGAAGAAGTAGTTGTTAAAATGTGTGTCTGTTATGACACACTCCTATTTTAAAAATAGTACAAATGCTTTTCAATACACACAAGTGGTTGTAAACCAAAACTCCCATTTTATTAAAATTTTGGTGCCTCCATAAACCTAAAAACAGTTATTTTCTAGTTTGTCATGCATGTCGTTGCTGAAGTTTGGAACGTCAAAAAGTTTTGATCTCTTATGGTTCGTTTCTGCTCCAGAATATTTTAGATTGCAGACATAAAGTTAGGATAGAACATAATAAAAACAGTGTGCTTGTCATGATTGTCTTTGTATAATTTGCACACTAACTTCACTAGCTGGTTCTATGTTCCTGATAAGAAGTTGAGGTTGTTTTTGGAGGAGTGCTAAACCACTAAACTTCTCTGTATGTCTCACCTCCTTCAGCTTTTTGGCCCAGGGTTTCTGTGCCTTCTTAAAGCCTTCCTCTGCTTCTTTGGCCTCTTTGAAGCCTCCGATCATTTGCTTGTGATATGCCTCCTTCTGCCAGTTCTTGACTTTCTCCACGTCTTCATTCAGCAGGTTGTTCTTCACGTCCTGATGCAGCTCGCTCACTTTCTCCGCCTCGGTCATCACCCCCAGCCAGGCCTTCTCCACAGAGCCGTACTGCGGACCTGAGAGGCATGCACAGCAGAATGATTCAGACCAGAAAACTTTTTGTTTAGTTTAATTTGGAAAACCACCTGCAAAACTAAACTCCACCTTTCTCAATAAGTTGTCTCCACCTCTTGGACCAGGCAGTTAGCTGATCACCGTAGGCTTTTTCTATCTTGGCACGCTCCTGCAGGCAGCCCATAAGGTCGTTGCAGAGCCGGTGGCCATCGTCAAATCTCTTTACGGCACGTTTATAGTTTCCCACCTGAGACAGATGCAAAGACATGAAACTAGAAACACCTCTTGCTCTTTCATTACAGGATGAAGATGTTGTCTCAGATTGGTTGTGGGTTTGAAGTGGGTTACATGCTGCAGACTGACTGAGCTGGGTAGGCCTCATGTGACACAAAAACATTTTTTCTCTAAGAAATAAAAGTGGCTGTTCCAACATCAAAATATCTGGAAATTAAAAAGTTATCTTTCAGAACCAAGCAAATTGATCCTCCTGGTTTATTTATGTTTGAAGCATTGGTGAAAATCAATAAACTTCAAATAACATCTATGTTTGTGAACAAATAAAAACAACTAAAATGTGAAAAGTGAGGCAAAAAATTGAAGGGAGTTTTATTCCCAAATTTCTTAGGGAATAAAACACAAGTTTTTTCTTAGACTTACCCTAATAATCCATGCCTGACCCTTGCAGATAGTGTTTTGTTTATGTCTTTGTGTTTGTGTTCGTCTGTTAGCAAAATATCCCATGAACCACAGGACAGATACTAGATTTTCCTCTACAATGGATCAACTTGTGGCGTCACCCCAATTCAAGATGGCCACCACAGCTAATCACCATTAGCCATCACAAAAATGTCTATAGTGCAGCCAGTTTTACAGCTACTTAGCTAAAATTTGGTGTGGTAATAGCAGAGCATTATCCACAACATATACTCTGAGTACTAACAGAACCTGCAACATCATGTAGTATTGCATGAGATTATGCAGAATACAACTGACAAGGTGGGACCAAAATGGGCATAAAGGCATCTCAAAGTAATCTGAGTTTAGTTCTCTGACATAAAAAGGAGGGTGATATGCATTCCTTCAACGAATTACTTTAATTACTCAATGACCATTTAGATACTGCATGCTTGCTCAATACTGGACCATTGTTCTTTGATGAGCCACAGCAGTATCAGCCTCAAAGGAATTCAGTCATAGCACATACTGTTTTCCTACTATTTAAACAAATCTGCACATTTAAATTTTGGTTTGTTTTTCTACAAGTACCTTTTTTTAATGTAAACACCAGAAGCAATTAAATGTTACTGTTTGCTCCGAGACCTGAAACGATACGAGCAGTCTCAAGGTCTGAGCTGAGTGCTTGTTCTTTTTGAAGAAAACGCGATCTAATGTGCCGTATGGAATAAAAAATAAAGCATTTTTAGGTTTTCTCATAAACCGACAATAAATGATAAATCAGATTTATCCACTTGTGGATCAAATGCTGTTTGTCCGAGACAATTTTGATCTCTTCACATCTTACCACCTTAAGTAAAACCACCTTAAAAAAAAAAAAAGAAAAACAACAGTAGCAGGCTGAGTGTCTCCGCCTCTTCAGTGCCTGCAGGGGGCGTGAGCTCATGGTGCATGATGGAGGGAGGATAAAGGAAGGGGGGTTACTCGTGCCTGTGCATGTGTAGTTATGCAATAACATGGGCTTGTGTTTTGCATGTGTGTGTGTGTGTGTGTGTGTGTGTGTGTGTGTGTGTGTGTGTGTGTGTGTGTGTGTGTGTGTGTGTGTGTGTGTGTGTGTGTGTGTGTGTGTGTGTGTGTGTGTGTGTGCAGGCTGTGGATGCTTTAATCCTCCTGAGTGGTGTAATGCAGCTAGACAGATTCTCAGGAATGGATGACGAGGTAGAGACAGAAATACCACGGACCCTCTCGTTCTCCCTCACAGAGTGTGTTGTTGTTGTTGTTGTGTGTGTGTGTGTGTGTGTAAGGCTGTAAAGGATGTACTGCATGTACAGCATCATCCAGACTCAGGCTGACATGTTTGCTGGCTGCAGAGCTGCGCTGTGATTGGTCCACACCCAGGCGTACATGTTAGAGTTGGACGTGATGAAAGCTGCAGGGAGGCAGTGAGACAGGTGTTTAACCGTATGACTTCAGTCCTACGTGACACGCCGCCAAGTCACACCAACAACAACAACACACAGGTGGACTGCTTTTACATGAATCACACACCTGAGCTCCAGCGTCTGTGGACTGGAACTCTAAGCGTGGTCGTGTTCCCCGTCCCTGGAGGATAATCTGTTTTCTCTGACACACATGAGTTACGATCGGACCTGTGTTGTTCGATTCTGGGTGCAGGTGCGGGTGGTGAAAGGCTGCCTCAGAGTGGCTGATGATTGAAGCTCTTTGTCTGAGAGCCTCTGTGACACAAAGAGGCCTCTGTTCTCAGGGAATTCATTATGGCTAATTTGGTGGGTTTAAATCCCACACACTTTACACGCACAGCTATATTCCCCTTCAACGCTGAAACGTTTCGTTGATTTCCAAATATTTGTGGCAACCAGCGATCACTACTCGCCCGCAAAACTTGCCTGTAAATCTGCTGAAATGTATTTTTTTATTTCCATCGTGAGGGTGTTCAAAGGATTTTTTTTTTTAAATAGTACGGTTATGTAAAGCAATTTACACGCCCACAACACAAGAAACAAAAATACACACACATACAGACACACAACTGGGATTAACTGTTTTATATTTGATGTGTTAAAGCTACAAGTGGGCTGTTTGGGTTTGTTTTCAAAATTCTGCTTTTCAAAAATCTATTTTAGATCAAAACTACAATGAGCCCATGTTTAATGATAAAATTACTTCAGTTGTGACATAATTTGTTTGATCTACAAGATCTCTTATTAAATTCAAAGAAATACATATTATGTTACAAACATTTACTAATTATATATTACTAAAAGTGTATGTTTTTCATTTCACTGAGGCAGTGAAGTAGTTTCTGATATACTTAAGCTTAAATTTTATCTGAGTTTCTTGCCTTTTTACGCACTTTATTCTTCTGTGTCTCACTGATGCAAAGAAAATGATCAAAGATGAACAAACCTGTGCATTTTTGTAAAAGTAAAAGATGAAAAGGAGTGTGGTACTTCTAAGGGCTGCATTACTACATTACTGATGACATTCAGAATTAGGACATATTTAAAGCAGATCAGACGTGGCAAAATATACTTCTTCACTTTGAATTGTGAATACACTAAATAACCCTAATATACTGAGAATTGTTGTACAGAATTAACCCACAAAAAGCCTTCAAGACTGACAGTGGATGATAACTGATAAATGTGTGTGAGCTTTAAAAAAAAAAAATTAAATTAAAATGTGCTTCTACTTTAATGACTGTTATTTATTACGAACAAGCTGAAACACAAGTTTAACTAGAATAAATTAAAGCCCCATCTATACTTATTTTAAAACGTTCTTCACTTTTTTCCACACTATGTCATTAGGTAAGAATTTCTGCATTATCAACACCTACAATGAAAGAACTACATGAGACTAAAGATTCCTTCAAAACTCTCTTTAAAAAACGTTGATACCGCTGAGTTTTTCTCAGTCATCTCAGCACATGTTTAACATTGACAGAATCAGGACAAAACTATAAAAACAGCTCCAGATTTGTTGTGGTTATAGGGCAGAAAAAGTAATAGACTGTGCACAAACTAGGTCGCTAAATTTTTTTTTTGAAAATCGCTTAAATCTCCTGCCTACGTAGATCTAACATTAACAGAAAGTTTTAAAATCTCTACCCTGTAAATCAGAGATTTTTAAACTATGGGCCGAGGCCCAATTGTGGGCCGCGAGCGCCACCTTGAGGGCCTCAAAAGAACAACAGTTTTTAACTTTGGGCCGCAGAGGGCCGTGGGAC